ACTTCCAGCAGGGAGATTTACAGTATGGAGCTGGAGGAAGATTCCCACACTGGGTTTTATTGGTGTGGTCAGATCCACGTGCTGCTGTTTTCCATCTGCTTGTGCATGCCCTGCACAATGTGCTGCCAGATTTGTGGGAGGGCTCAGGCTCCTTCCAGATTCCTCTCAGCAGAAATTCCATCCTCAAGCCAAGGTGCCCTTCAGCAAGAAATTGCTTTAAAATATTAAGTTTTCTCTAAAAGGCTTCTGTTTTTCAAAACTGGAGTTTTTTCTGATTAAAAAAAAGGGGGGAGAGGAGGGGTAAGACATTGTTAAACAGCTTCTTCCTCTTCAAGTTAGATTTTCATTTAGTTATTTCATTATTTTAATGAATGAACAGCAGGTTCACTGTGCTCAGGAGACAGAGAATGGGTAGGGTCCTCCACAGGGACTGAAAGCCATGGATTCCCAGAGGCACTTTGCCTTGAATAAGAGCCTTCTTCCTGGTAGATGACTGGCAGCTCCAGAAACAAGAGGGTCAGCTTCCTCCTCCCCCTCTCTCCTCCTTTTTCTTCCTTTTTTCTTTTTTTCCCCCCACAGTTTTTTCCCTTTTCCCCCCTCTTTTTTTTCCTTTTTTTTTTTTTTTAATAAAAATGTGCCCGATTGCTGCACTCATCTAACTTAAACATCTCCACAACTTTGGGCTGTGTCCTCTGCCCAGTCTCAGTGGTGGTTCCTTGTAGAGTTCACAGAACCACAGAATGGTTTGGATTTGAAGAAACTTCAGGGATCATCTTCTTCCAACCCTTGCCATGGGCAGGGACACCTTCCACCACACCAGCTTGCTCCAAGCTGTTGATGCTCTCCAGTTCTCAGTCTTTTAAAGAAAATATCTTTAAGTGAATAAGATCCATCTGCTCTGAGGTGGATCTCCTCAATTCCAAGCACCCACAACCTCCTCCCTGTGTTTAGGGTGGAAGCTTTTGGTGGAATCTTTCTCTTGAGATGGAATCTTTCAGTGGAAGCTTTCTCTTTAGATGGAAGCTTTAGGTGGAATCTTTGGGTGGACTCTGCTGTGGTTTCAGCTGCTCTGGGAGAGCTTTGGGCACAGTGGGTTTGTCGTGAGCCAATCCTCACAGGTGGATGTGACTCCAGGAGGGAATACAAAATCCATCTGTTCCCCTCTGAGCTGTGCTGGGGTGACCTGCAGCACGCTCCAGCAGTGGCATTTGGGTTCCCTCACAGGAAAGCTCCTGAGGATGCACAGGTCCCTCCTGGAAGGGACCCAGCCTCACCCACGCTGATGGAATGTGTGCTGTGAGCTCGTCCCTGTGGGAGTGGAGCCCTAATCCAGCCAGCAGAGGCATTTCCTCAGGCCCATTCCCAGTTCAAAGCAGGTTTCTCTCCCCCCAGTTCCTCTGAAGCTCTCTGGGTGCCAGGCAGGATGCTGGAGGTGTGAGTTTGCTCGGGAAGGGTTCTGCTGTTTCATCCCAAGGCTGGGACACGTAGGTGGATCTCAGGGATGCTAATCCTGCTTGGGATGAGCTGACAGGGACTCCAGCAAGCAGCACAGGCGCAGGATGGCATTTCAGGGCTGCTGTCAGCTGGGGTGACTCCAGCAGCTTCTCTGGAGCAGAGTCCTTCTGCTCTTTTGGCTCTGTCAGGGAATCAGCTGGCTCTGGCCTTGCCTTTCCTTGGCTCCCATGGAGCAGACCTGGAGCCACGAGTGTTGTGCTGGCCCTGCTTCCCAGCTGGGGCCAGAGGGAGTGTGAGGGGGCAGCTGAGCTCGGGGTGCAGCAGCCTTGGGGACTGGATGTGGGAAAAATAAGGGATTTAATATGGTATCACATGTTGAACCCTCTGTTATGTGGTAAAAATAAAGAATTTAATATGGCCTCACATGTTGAACCCTCTGATTTGCCTACAGGGTTTGGGACAGAGTTCTGATAGAGCCAGCTTAATTATGTCATTTAAATAAATGTTAATTATAAATATATTGAATTTATTTATATATCCATTCGCTATATAAATATTAATTCTATTATTATTAATATATAATATGAAGAATATTAATGATATGGTTGATCTTGAGTTCTTTTCCAGCCTTTCTAATTCTATGATTAACAGAATTAACCTCAGGAAGAGAGGCACATGTGAATGCAGTGATAACCACTTCAGATCAATGCAGTCTCACCCTGGGCAGTCTTGATTTTTAAAGATCTTCAGTGTTGATTATCCGTTCTAAGTTCACATCAGACTCTGAATCCTGATACAGTGCTGATCTGCTTTTTGGGAGCAAAACAGGCAATTTAGGTAGCCTGGATTTCCTGGTCAATGGATTTTTTTAGTTCACAAATGGTTCCATGCTGGGAGGTGTCTCCTGGCATATGTGTGATCATCTGGAATGAAATAGGTGAGAAATTCCTGTTTCTAATGTAGAACTGAGAAAGTCCTTGTGGGAGGGGCTGGTGGGAGTGTGTGTTTGGTTAAACCTCACAACATCTCCCACAGATCCTGCAATAAATGAAATAAACTTCCTGAGCCTCTCTGCTTTCCTGTGTACTGCAGTAAATAATGCTTTGTCTGGCTTGGGGAGTTGCAGCAAAAGAGACTGGCAGAGCCTTCAGTTAACCAAAACTAATCACTAAATTGGAAAATCTGTCCCCTGTGATATGAATTCCAGTGCTGTTTTAAACAAGATTAAATCTTCAAGCGCAGGAGTGGGGAAAATCTGTGAGCCAATGTCACAGATGAATCAAACACTGGCTTTTCTGAAAATTCCTTTAACATGTGGATTGGCTTTTTTTCCCCCAAAACCCCTTAACCTGGAGCTGGTTTTGCTCCCACCTGGCATGGGGTAGGGATTGGGGATGTGCAAAAGTGGTGGAGAATGTGTGGGAAACACTGATTTATATATTTATTTGTTATTAAGGATTCTGTGATTTTAATTAAAATTTTTAAATCTGGCGATCTACAACTTGGTAGAATGTCTCTGTTGTCATTAATTTCCTTTGGGGGCCCATCTGATTGTGTCTGTTGATCACTGAATCAGAGAATGGTTGGAAGGGACCTTAAAGATCAAATATTCTGTGTTTTTTTCTGCAAGCCCACTGAGAAATGTGCCTGAACTCACTGAAGGATGCCTTGAGACAGAAGAATTTGCCTGGCTTTTCACAAAACCAGCAAGGCATGGCAAGGGCGCCCTCAAGGACAGACCCAAAATAGCTTTTGGAGAGCTTGCCACAAGCTCTGCTGCCTGCATGTAAATAAGGGGGGGAATTATCTTTATATATACAGGGGGAAGAGCTCAAAGGTTTTAAAATGTTTTCCTTGGCTTGTTTATCAAATCAGTGTCATGCAGTGCATGAATATCAGCAAAGCCCAGCCCAGAGTGACCTTTAAAGAGCTGGAGGGTGGGATTTTCGTAGAAATGTTGGTCTGTGGCATAAAAGGGACCTAAAACCTCCCTTGCCTTGGAAAACCCCAAATATATGTGGGAATATAACCCATATTTAGCTTATCTGTGCAAGGAGGTGTGAGACCCCAATGGAGAGGGGGAGAGAAAATCCCAACAAACAGTGGGAAATTGAGGTTTGGGATCTTGGGGGTGTGCAGGGTGGGAGGCATCCAGAAGGAGGGGAATGGTTTGGGTTGGGAGGGACCTTAAAGCCCACCCAGTGCCACCCCACCATGGGCAGAGACACCTTCCTTATCCCAGGCTGCTCCAAGCCCTCTCCAGCCTTTGGAACCATTCCAGGGATCCAGGGGCAGCCATGGCTTCTCTGGGCAAAAGTGGATGTCTTGATTCGGCTTATGCAGCCAAGTATTTGGAATTTCTATCATAAAACATCATTTTTGGCGCAGCAAAAATGAAATCATTCCAACCCTTTTTATTGCTTCATTTTGACTTTTTTTTTTTCTATGATGGAAGAGCTGTATCACAGTATTAGTATCCAGGGTGATACATAATAAAAAATAGTCACAGTTAAAAATAATTATAAAATAATTCACAGTTAAGTAGGTAACTCCAGCCCTTAGCATGGAAAAGGAGGCAAAACCTCGTATTTTTTAATGTTTCTATTGTCACTATATTGGTTACATTGTTTTGCATAATTAAAAAGCCAGGCGAGTTCACCAGAGAAAACCGCATTTTCCAAAAAATCAGTGTGTGCTTGAGATCTGGAAGGGAATTACAGTGGCAGAGTTGCTCGTGGTCTTTTCCAGTCTTCATCCTTCCTTGCTCTTGTGGGAAGAGAGGATTTGTTGGGATATTTTCCGTGCAGAATTTATTTCAGTGTTTTCCCTGTTGAAATGAAAACACCTGTGGACTGTTTAGGGCCAAGGGGTAAAAACCAACCAGGAGCCCATGGAAATGGTGCTGGTGGGAGGCAGTTTGAAGGCACTGATTGATGTCCTTGTGGTTTGGGATTTTACCCATGGCATTGGAGCAGGGGCACTGAACAGATTTATTTGAGGGATTTCTTTTGTGTGTGTGTGTGTGTGTTGAGGAGAATTTGAAATGCTCCTGCATGCTGAGTGTTGGTGCTGGTGTGGTCTGTTTGCAAAACACTTGAAATATGTGGTGGTGGGAAGGATTAAATGCTGGGGATGGGTGGTTTGGCTCTGCAGGATCTGAGCACCTCAGGGGAAGGAACAAGGAGTAGGAACATCCCTAATCTGCTGTGTAATCTTCACCATGTGATAGCTGCTCATTCAGGCTAAGCCCAGGGGAGGGGAAGATGCATGAGAATGGAAAAGGTAATTAAGCAATTGCCTCAAAAAAAACAAAAAAACCCACCTAAACAACAAAAAATCCTCTTGAAACAAAACCCCAGCAGCTGGAGAAATGCTCTTCCAGCCCTCCATAAGGTGAATCTGCATAAATGAGCCCTCTGCCCAGACCTGGGGAAATATGGAACATTTCCAAATCTGCCTTTGGAAGTGCCTCTTTACTCCACTGAGTTTCCACAGCTGGGGCCAATTGGGATCCTACTGACACTGATTTCTCTTTTCCTCCACAGTGGGAGCGCCTGTGGTTCCTCATCCTCACCTCATCCTTCTTCCTCACCCTGGTGTGGTTTTACTTCTGGTGGGAAGTTCACAATGACTACAATGAAATCAACTGGTGAGTAGAGCTTCCCTCGGGAAATTTGGGGTTTGGCCATCATGCACCTGCTTGATGCAGCTTGGGGTTCATCCAGATCCTTTGGATGGAGCTGTAATGGTGAGAAAGGGAAAATGGGGTGGGAAGTGGGGCTCAAGGAGAGCTCCTTCTGCCTGATCTGTGTGTAGATGTGACGTGGCCTCACATCTCCACTTTGTGGCTGGGTTTTTGTTTGTTTATCTTGATGGTTGGCTGGATTTGAAAGTGACTGAGCAATTTGGCTGCAGCTATTCCACAAAATACCCATGGCAAAAATTCCGCCTGAAGCACATGGGTGTGGAAAATATTATACAAAGTTGGAAGGAGCTGAAAAGGAGCTTTGCAGTGGGATGTGCTGGAATTTAGGGTGTTGCCAGCTGCCTTCCAGTGCTGGAAATTATTCTCCCTTTTATTATCGGCAGCATCTTAAAACATTTTGACAGCACCTTGGGCTGTATTCTAACCAAACTGCTTTGACATCATCTTCTTGCCAAACATAAGATGTAAAGTGGATTTTAAAGCACAGTGGGGAGCTGATCCCTTAAATAAATCATCTGCTTTAGATGCTGGAGCTGTGTGAGGGAGAGTGTTTACCAACATGGTGATGTGAGCTGGCTCCTCCCAGGAGAAAATGGGTTTTTTCTCTTTGCTCACACCCACACTGAGAGAAGTGAAACCATTACTATGGTTCTGTATTATTTGTAACAGCAGCATGATAAAAATGCCTTTTTTAAAGTGGTGTTTTGGAACCCTTCTCTTCTTCAGTTTGTACCCTCAGTGAAGGATGTGATGGCTCCAGTGCAAAACCAGCTCTGTCTGAGCTCAGAGTTGTGAGAGGGCCAAAAACATTCCCTCAGAAATGAAGGAAAGCCCTGGGAATGCTGGGAATGGGCGCTGCAGCTGCAGTGCTGCCAAGTTTTGGGTCCCCAAAAGTTCTTGCAGGAGTGGGGGGAGATGTGCAGCTCTGCTCTGCATGCAAGAGGCATTTGGGATTTAACACAGATGTCACCAAAGTGCTGTCCCTGCCATGCATCCCAGGGTGCTGGAAGCACATCCCAAGAGGGAAAGGATTCCCTCCTGTGCAGCACAGGGCTGGAAGAGGCTCTCTGGATGAAAACAGCATTTCAGGCACTGAGAATGGCTCAGTGCTCTGTGTGTGCTGTAACCCCAGCTGCATCCCTGCTCCACACACCACCAGAGGTCGAGCAGGGTTCTGGAAAACAGCTGTGGAGAGGCTGGGTAGGAGGAGGAGAACACAGGGTGAGGCTTTAATTACAGCCATGCCAGTTCCAGGGAAGGGGAGAAATAATTTCCATTGGGTCCGTGCAGGCTGAGCCTGGCCCTTCCCTTCCAGCACAGCTGCCTGGGCTCCCTGAAAACAGAGCAGTTTGGGGGCAGACAGGGTGAGAAGGGCTTGAAAGCATCATTTTATTCCCAGCAGGGCTGTGAACCTCTTGCTGATGAGGCACAGCGTGGTCCTGGTGTTTAGAAGCAGCACCTTTGCTGTTCCTCTGTCGTTGTCACTTCTGGGTGGTGGTTTTGGACAAGATTTCTTTGCTGCTTGCTCCTGCTGCCTTCCTCTCTGCCCCACTGATTTCTTGGCAAGCTGGGAGCTCCTCCAAATGATGGGAAGGGTTCTTTGAGGCATGGCACACCAAGCCAGGGTCTTGCAGAGGAGCTGGGAGAAGGAGTTGCTGTGATATTGGCGTGGAGTTGCTGTGATATTGGTGTGAGGAACTGCTGAGCTCCTTCCTGCCCTCCAGACCTCATCCCTGCAGCTCTCCTGGCTCCTGTCACCTTCAGCCTGTCCCACCAGGTGGAGAGGGACTGGAGGAAGATTTCCCCCCTCTTTGGGACTTGCTCCAGCTCTGCACCTCCCTCTAGGAGGAGATTTTTCAACCCAAACCTCTGAGGGCCTTTTCCCTCTGCCACCCTTGAGGAGGTTTTTCATCTTTTTACCTGTGTGTCAGACAGCTTGGGCAGCAGCTGGGTCTTTTCAACTTTTGAGGACCCAAGGGCTGTTCTGGGATTGAAATGGGTTTTAGGAGGAAAAGGCAAAACTGTGGGCCAGCATGTATTGCTTCAGGCTTTTAACACTGAGGTCCTTGTAAGTGAAAGTGCTCTGTGCCTCTTCAGTAATTTTTTTTTTTAATTTATTGCTATTGGCATTTTCCTTTTTGGTGTCTACACTTGATTTCATTACAGTATTACAATTCAGCTCTGCACTGTCTGGGGTTTGTACTGCACCAGAAATTTTCACTCTAGCTCAGGCAGGCTGAGGGAGATGCTCTGATTTGTGACCCTGCCTGTGTTCCCCCTGCAGCAGGACCATAAATGCAAGTCTGTGTAGCAAAGCTTTTCTTCCTTGGTTCTGGAGAAAGCTCCTCTGCTCCTTAGCTCTCATGGACCCAGCAGTTTAAAACAATCATTTGCACATCAAGTGAAGGCCTGGTGCTCTCAGAGGGGCACTGAAGGGACATCAGAGCAAAAGCTTAAATGGCCTGAGAGCTGAGGAAGCTCTGGGTGGTGGCATCAGCAAAGACTTCAGAGGAGCCCTCCTTCCTTTCTTCCCTCTTTTTTCCTAACAGCACGTCTGGATCCCTGCAGATCCCTGGGTTTGTGCTCTTTGGCTCCCTGAGCAGGGCCTGGACCTGAGCCATGCCTGTTGAGCCCAAGGATTTGCTCTCCAGGTCCCACAGGGGAGCTTTGCTCCTGGACAGAATGAGAATCAGAGAATATCCTGAATTATATCATGGAGTCCAGCTCCTGGCTCTGCACAGGACAGCCCCAAAAATCACCCCAGGGTTTGTGCAAACAGACCTGAGGTTCTGGCTGATGAGGGATGCTGGGTTTGAGTGCTGGGCAAGAGATTGAATCTTTGACCTGCACTTATATAATGCAGCATTTCTGTCTGTTGTAACCAAAAAATAAAAAAAAATTTTAAAAAAATTTGAAAAGGCACTAAGAGACAAAAAAAAGAAAAAAAAAAAAACCCAGCCAGTTCATTGATTGAGCTGATTCCACCGCAGAACCATCCTGTCCTTGCTGTGCCAAAGGGTTTGCACGGCGATAATGTCAACCCTGATCCAAGCCAATTTAGGAATGTTGTTTTGGGCTTTTTTTCCTAAAAATCCAGAGGCGAAATTTTAATCCAGGTCAAGTTTGAACTGTCAGAAGCTGCAAGAAGGGTTCTGGGGTTTCTCTGCCTCTCTCTATCCATTAATTTCCCTAAGGGATTAAAGCACTGGGCTGTCACTTGTGCTTTTTGCTGCTGCCATCTCTTTTCTAGAGAAAGATCTAAAGTTTTCTAAAGTCTTGTCTAACCCCAGTGGAGCTGTCCTGGTGTTGAACCCCTTCTTAATCTGCCCTTCCCACTTCTCCCCCAGGTTTTTGTATAACCGGATGGGATATTGGAGTGACTGGTCCATTCCAATCCTTGTAACAACCGCTGCTGGCTTCACCTACATCACAATGTTACTGGTGAGTACAATGAAATCCCATTTCTTAGAGCTTTGTGTGTTGGCTTTAAAAAGGCCACGAGTTCCTCAGGCCATCTACAAGCTGAGGAGTGATTTCTCTCTCTTTCTCTTAGCCTCGAGTTGCATAAAATCAAAAGTGAGAAACTGATGGTCTTTGAGCTCAGATGCTCAAAAGTAAAAGACAGATACCCTCAGAGGAAGAATGCAGTTTTGTTTCCCATGGTATGGCCCAGTTTCCACTTCTGGGCACAGCTGGCAGTAGTTTCCCTTTGTCCCAGGGTGCTGTGACCTTCAGGGAGGTGTCCATCCAGGTGGCACTGTCCCTGCATGCTCCAACCCTTCAGTTGATGTGCCTCTGTCTGACTGTCTGTTTGTCCCTCCCAGATCCTGGCCCTGTGTCACATAGCTGTGGGGCAGCAGATGAACCTGCACTGGCTGCACAAGGTAAATCTCAGCTCCAAGGGGAGCAGGGAATGCTGGAGCCCGAGGAGCAAGCAGGGGGTGGCACTGCTGTCACTGTGTCCTTGGGAAGAGCATGAAATGTCTGTGGGGCATGGGTGCAAACTGCTCAGGAGAGGCCATCAGAGCCTGGGGGCAGAGAATTTGGTGAAATGCTTTTGGCCCTTGCTGATGGAGAGGCCACATGTGGAGATGGAGGGACATCAGTGCTTAGAGCAGCCTGATTCAGTCCCAGCTCAGGGGCTCCAGGAACCTCTCTGGGGCTCCTTCGTGTGCTGAGCCCAGCCTGGAGAGGTGCTGAGCAGAGCTGAAGCTGCTCAGAGCGTGCTTGGAGGCCCCAGCTGGGAGAGCCTGGGGAGAAGGAGATGCAGGAGTTGCAGCTGAGGGTGTGCAGGGCGAGGTTTGCTGGGCCCAAGGGGATTTGTGTGTGGAGCAGTTTGAGAAACAGTGCTGTGAAACACAAGGAAAGATATTGGGAGCACAGAAAGGGAGGGAAAGGTGTGCAGGGATAGAAAATGGGCTGGCAGGATCCCATTGCAGCTGGCAGATTGCTGACTGGGAATGAAGGGAGCAGTCCTGAATCTGCCAATGCCCAGCTCCTCCTGAAATTCTGCACGTGATGTAGGATCAGAGCCTGAACCTCCCAGACAGGGACAGCAGACACTTCCCCACCCTGCCTTTTTCTTTTCCTCTTTTTTCTTTCCCTTTTCCTTTTTTCCCTTTTCCTTTTTTCCTTTTCCTTTTTTTCCTTTTCCTTTTTTCCCTTTTCCTATTTCCCTTTTCCTTTTTTTCTGTTCCCTTTTTTTCTTTTCCCTTTATTCCTTTTCCTTTTTTTTCCTTTTCCTTTGTTTCCTTTCCTTTTTTCCTTTCCTTTTTACAGTTTTCTTTTTTCCTTTTCCTTTTTTTTCTTTTCCTTTTTTTGCTTTCCTTTTTTCTGTTTCCTTTTTTCCTTTTCCTTTTTCCTTTTTCCCTTTTTCTTTTCCTTTTTTTTCCTTTTTTCTCTTTCCTTTTTTTCCTTTCCTTTTTTTTTCTTTTCCTTTTTTCAGTTTCCTTTTTTCTTTTCCTTTTTTCTTTTCCTTTTTTCTTTTCCTTTTTTCAGTTTCCTTGTTTCTTTTCCTTTTTTTTTCCGTTTCCTTTTTTTCCTTTCCTTTTTTCCTTTCCTTTTTTCTGTTTCTTTTTTTTTCCTTTTCCTTTTTTCCATTTCCTTTTTTCCTTTTCCTTTTTTTTTCCCCTTTTTTTCTTTTTCTTAGGGATGATAGAAATTGTGCTTCCCCAGGGGAAGAGGATGCAATGAGAGAGGGGGCAGGGACTGTCTGACTGGTGCTGCAAAAGAAGTTATTAATTCTTGAGTCTGACATATGTTTCTTCATCAGGAAAAATGGTATTTTCAGATAAGCTGGTGGGCTTAGATGAGTAAGTCCAGAAGAGGGATAATCAGTTCTACCCTCTGGACTCCCACCCTTCCTCCCCTTCTTCCAAGAATCCCCCTTCTCATCACAGCTCAGATGTGTGGCTCTGTCTCTTCCCCTCCCCACACCTCCCCCAGCTTCCTAAGGAGGCTGAGATACAAGGCTGGAATAAGTTGATATTTTTCTCAGAACTATACTGAATTAACTTCAAATATAGATTAAAGTGTGTGGGAAAGGCTGGTATGGGCAAAGCACCCAACTCCTTCCAATTTTCTCCTGTAATTCTGTGCAGAGGGGTGTGAGCCAAGTGGGAGATGAGTGTGAGGGGAGGAGAAGCAGCAATAAATTGGAGCTGATGGGAGGAGTGGAGATTTGTGTCCTGACACAGGGTGGCCACACCAAGGGGAAATAGGGCTCTAGAAAGAGGAATCCTGTTTACATGCACCAAAGGGATTCTGTAAATGTTGGCAATGTGGGATTTGATTTGCTGGTCTGGATATTAAACCTGAAATGGTCCTGGAGGAGCCCTGTGCCCCTGAAGTGATCCATTCATTTCTGGGGATCAGTCTTCTGCCAAATCTCCCCTGCAGATTTTGCACTTGCAGCAGCATCCTTTGCCTCTGGCAGAGCAGAGGCTGAATACCAGACTCAGGCAGAGAGTGGGCAATTATTTTTAGACAGGCAGATTTCCAGTCTTTGCAGCTGGAGTAATTTCCGTGGCACTTTTCCATGGTTTGAACTCTTTACCTTCACCGCGGAGGTCACATCTTCTTTTTGACTGCTCTGCTCAGACCTCTGAGTGCTTCCATGAGAGAGAGAGGTCCTGGGGGCTCAGGTCTGTCCCCTCAGTGCCACCACTGTCCCTTCCCAGCCCCAGGATCTGCTCTAACATGACAGCACATGAGCCCAACCTCCTTCCCCGTGAATCGCTTTTTTCAGACCTTTTATTACATGCAAAGCTTTTCTCTCTCCATTTCCCAACCTATAATAAATATCCCAACCTAATTTTTATAACAACCACAGTCCCCAGCCTGTAAATACCCCCTGGTTTCTTGCAGATTGGCCTGGTGACAACCTTGATAACTACTGTGGTGACCATGTCATCGATAGCACAGCTTTGGGATGATGAGTGGGACATGGTTTTTATTTCACTGCAGGTAAGTTGTTTGCATGGATGCTTCCCTAGGGGAGGAAAGGGGCCAGTGCAGCTGAATTCCATAGGATTTATGTATTTCTGTATGATAAAACTCTGTCTCGATGGTTGTCACAGCCCAGATTGAAATCTTGGCAATGAGAAAATTGTTTTAAGGAAGACTTGTGGTGTCTTGCAGGGCTAGAGAAGTATGAAAAGAAAATACCTACAAATTTAATTTCTTACAGATCTGCTCTCTGTTCCTTTTTCCCTCTTCCTGAAAAAAAGAAGTCCAAAGATATTTTCCCCATTTTGCTTAAGAGGTGACCACTGACGTGTATTTGGGAGTATGCAAATCTATGCAAATGCAGGGGGTGGAAATGGCATTCACACAAGTGACTAACATTTCTCAGAAGTGCTTCATTCTATTGGGGTATTTTTAAGATTTAGGCAGGGAATTGGAGAGCAGAATCACGACTCAGATGATCCATCCCCAGCTTTGTGTCATGGTGCTGCTGCACCCTGCTGATACAGGCCAGTGTGTTCAGAGAATTCCAGAAGACTTTGGGTGGGAAGGGATCCCAAATTCCATCCAGTGCCACCCCTGCCATGGCAGGGACACTTTCCACTGTCCCAGGGTGCTCCAAGCTCTGTCCAGCCTGGCCTTGGATATTTCCAGGGATCCAGGGGCAGCCACAGCTGCTCTGGGCACCTGTGCCAGGGCCTGCCCACCATCATCCTGAATTTTTTAGTCTCAACCTAGACTATTCCAGTTTAAAACCATTCCCTGTAGCTGACCCTAATAAAGTCTGTCCACGTTTTCTTACCCTTTAAGTCCTAAAAGGCCACAATAAGTTATCCCTGGAGCCTTTTCCAGGTGAACTCCCCAGCCTGGTCCCAGAGCAGAGGGACTCCAGCCCTTGCAGGAGCTCTGTGGCCTCCTCTGGACTCCCTCCAGCAGCCCTTTTCCCAAATATCGGTGTTATTGAGGGAGAAATTCCCCTAAAAGGGAGTTAGAGCTTTCCTCCCTTCTCTTAGTGCAGCCTAAAAGCCAGAGGCAACGTGAGTATTTAGAAGAAAGCAATGGCCAAAACAGAACCTGCAAAACCAACACATTTTCAAGGTGCTGGTGTGTTTTTAATCCCATTTTCCTCTCCTGTTCTTGTTCCCTGCAGGCCACAGCCCCTTTCTTGCATATAGGAGCCCTGGCAGCTGTGACAGCGCTGTCGTGGTTGGTGGCAGGGCAGTTTGCACGGACAGAGAAAGCCAGTGAGTACCTGCTGGTCCCTGCACGGTGGGCACTGGCTGCTCCTCTTGTTTCTCTCTTTTTTCTCCCCTTTTATCTCTTTTGTCCCTCCTTGTTTCTCTTTCCCCCCCACCCTTGTTTCTTTTGTTTTTTCCCTTGTTTTTCCTTTCCACCCCCTTGTTTCTCTTTTTCTCCCCTTGTTTCTCTTTCCCCCACCTTGTTTCTCTCTTTCCCCCACCTTGTTTCTTTCTCCCCCCTTGTTTCTCTTTTTCTCCCTTTGCTTCTCTTTTTCCCCCTTGTTTCTCTTTCCCCACCTTGTTTGTCTTCCCCCCTTGTTTCTCTTTCTCTCCCCCTTGTTTTTCCTTTTCTGCCCCTTGTTTCTCTTTTTCCCCTTGTTTCTTCTTTTCCTCCTTTTTTTCTATTTTCCCTCCTTGTTTCTTTTTATTTCTCCCCTTGTTTCTCCTTTTCCCCCCTTGTTTCTCTTTTTTTTCCCCTTGTTTCTCTTTTCCCTCTTGTTCCTTTTCCCCTCCTTGTTTCTTACTTTCCCTCCTTGTTTCTCTATTTCCCCCCTTGTTTCTCTTTTTCCCCCTTTGTTTCTCTTTTTCTTCCCCTTGTTTCTATTTCCCCCTTGTTTCTCTTCTTTCCCCCTTGTTTCTCTTTTTCACCCTTTCTCTTTTTCTCCCTTTGTTTCTCTTTTTCCCCCCTTGTTTCTCTTCCCCCTCCTTGTTTCTCTTTTCCCCCCTTATTTCTCTTCTTTTCCCCTTGTTTCTCTTCTTTCCCCCTTGTTTCTCTTCCCCCCCCTTTTTTTCCCTTCTCTTTTTCCTCCCCTTTGTCCCTTCCCCCCCCCTTGTTTCTCTTTTTCTCTCTCTTGTTTCTCTTTTCCTCCCCTTGTTTCTCTTCCTCCCACCCCGTTTCTCTTTTTTCCTTTTCCTTGTCTTTTTGTTTTATTATTATTTCAATAAGCCAGGAAGCTGTTTTCCTTCTCTCTTTCTGTTCCTGGATGGTTTTGTTTGTTTTTAAGAAAAAACAGTGCCATCTCTTGATCTTAAGATTATTTCAGACTCATTTGAATCACGGAATTTATCTTACCTGAGTTTACAGCCTTTTTAGTACAGACATGGTGGTTTAGAAATAAAAGAAAAAAAAAACCAAATATCTGTGAGAACCTTTTAATGGAAAACAGGATTTTAATATTTTGGAAACAGCTGCAGGTTTTGGTGCAAGCCTATTCTTGCCCTTTCTGTGTGGCATTTCAGCTTTTTTTTTTTTTCTCTGAGCAAATTTTTATGGGTTTTTTTTTGCTCTGGTTAAACTGAATGTTCAGAGCCTGGTCAGGATCCCATTCTGTTTGCCTGCAGGTTTGGGTGCTGGTGACATCTTTAAGGTGCAGGACACAGCATGAGGTGTCACTGAGTTCCTGGAGTGCTCCCTGAGTGATGGAGGCAGAAATCCCTGGCAGAGTTCCTGGAGTTCCTTTCTGCCTTGTGGGAACATGTGTGAATGAGCCTGTTGGATGCTGGAAGGAAAAAGGAGCCTATTTATGAGTGAAACCAGATCAGCTGTGGCCAGGAGCTGAGCTGGGCCTAAAAATAAAAAAACCACCACACTCTCTATCTTGCATTCATTGCAAATATTTGTTTTAAATGGTTTGGGAGTTTTTTTTCTTTGTTTTCCCCTTTTTCTTTTTATTTTTGGAGGCTATCCCTTGAGTTCCAAAGCCTTCATGAGTTTGCAAAATAAATAATAACTTTTAAAAAATTTTTAAAAATCAAGTCTTTTGCTGTAACATCTGTGGTTTCAAGTGGCTCCAGATATCTCAGGTGTTCAAAGGATTCCCAGGGAGCCTGGGCTTGCTGGGAAGTCACTGATAAATGGAATTTGGGTGGCATGGGAGGCAGAACTTCTCTGGCCCCAAGCACTGCAGCTCTGTCACAGCCCAGGGATTTATTTAAACATCTCCAGCCTGCTCAGTAAAGCATTATTGCATTTCTCTGGTGCAAATCTCGAGGCAGGAGCAGCTGAAGTGGCTTTGCCCTGGCTGAAGTGGGTGGTGCTGGTGAACCACCAACATAAACTTTCAATGCACTGAGGTGGTGCCATGGCTTATTTTTAGCTGTGTGTGACTGGTGAATTATTTCCCTTGTCAGGCAGGGCAGAATTTGGTGCTGTCCCACCCAAAGCGTGGAAACGCCAACAACATTTTGAGCTCCATTTCTGGAGGTTGAAGCAATTCACTTCATTTATTGTTTCCCCAGTACGAAATGAAGTGAAAACCTCTTTCAGGACTTGAATTTTTATTTTTTTTTTCCTAAACACTGACAGCAGATCAGTGGAGGAGGACAGAGGAGCCTTGCCTTTGCTGCTGTGCTGTGAGGGGGTCAGGGCCAGCATTTTCACCATCTCTCTGTGTCTCTCTCCTCCCCAGCCTCGCAGATGCTGATGTTCACTGCGTACCTGGCCGTCGTAGTTGCACTTTACCTCGTGCCCCTGGCCATCTCCTCGCCCTGCATCATGGACAAGGCAGCCCTGGCACCCAGGCCAGCCATCCTGGGGCACCGAGGGGCTCCCATGGTGAGTGGGGACCTGCCACCATCTCCTTGGGGTGGCTCTTTTTTTCTGCAGGCTTCTGAAGAGCTTTGGTTTGTGCTGCTTGTGCAGGGGAAATCAAGAAGTACTGGCTTTGCTGCACAGCTTCTTTACATAGTAAAAATAACAGCAGTTAACCTGCTGGCCTGATTGATAGCAGCAAACCCTGACAATGAACATCTTCTGCCAGAGCAGGAGAAGTGCTTGTCTGGGAAATAAATCTGTGTCAGGTCAGGTCCTCTCTCATTAAATCAAGCTTCAGCTTTCTTGTGTGGACAGTACAGTAATGAGGTCTCATCTCCTGCATCTACTTATTAAATCCCTAATGGCTCTTGCTTATGAGTTTATCCTCTTGTCCATTGTAGGGTTGATGGTTTGTTTTGTTTTGGTTTGGTTTTTTCTGGTTTGTTTCATGTTTTTTCACTTCCTTTCAGTCTAGTTGAGGAATTTACTGAAAATTTGGGTCACAAAATCCCAGAGTGGTTTGGGTGGGAAGCGACCTTGAAGACCATTGAGTTCTGAGCCCCTGCCATGGGCAGGGTTAGTTATGGATGTTCTCTAAAATATGGGTATTAAAGACATTATTTTATTTTCTGTTTTAAAGAGAACACTTACTGCCTTGGTGTGTTACTCACCTGGCATGATGGGACACTAATGCTGAAATCCAATAATGGCCTGGCAGATCCCACACTTACCCCCACACAGGGATCTCCCAAAGGGCAGTGTTCTACACAAAAGAAAATGCTTAGATAAGATTTCATTTCTAAGATTTCATTTCTTAGGTATCACTTTAATCCTTGTGGGGTTTTTTGGTCCAGTTCATTGCTCACAAGGAGATTCATACTGGGAAGGAGAGATAAAGAGGAAAAAAAAAAAAAAAAAAAAAAATTGAAATGATGTCCATATTTCCAAAAGGACGAGAAAACACCCTTAAATCTTATTGATGAAATAAAATATCAGATCCTTTAGTGCATAATCACTAAATGCATCCCAGGATGGTTTGTGCTGAAAGGGACCTTCAAAACCACCTTGTTCCAACCCCTTGCCATGGGCAGGGACACTTTCCCCTAGACCAGACAAGGGTTTGCAGTGGCTGCAATTAGTTTGGAATAAAATTTGATTCTTCTGTCCAGGCTTCTTCATTAACCTCCCCACCAAATGATGCCATGAGTTTCTTTTTTAAACCCTTTTAATTAAGGGAAAAACGGAAATGTGGTGCTGTCCAACTGCAGCCAAGCTGTGCTGCTCTAACACAGTTTCATAATCTTCTTTAAGGAAGGTCCCCAAAGCTCCTGTCTCTGTCTGAATGCATTTGCAATGGATTTCTAAGCACAAAAATAACCAAAATGAGTTCATTTGCTGTAATTTTCTAGAAATCACTTGCTGTGTCTCTGCAGCAGGAAGAAATGAATAGTAGCCTGATTTTTGCAGGGGCTGAGTCTCTCAAACCAAGCACAGAGAGGAGGAAGAGCTGCTGGAAATCCTGAGCTGGCTCTGTCTGGCTCTCAGTACCTGGGCGTGGTTTATAAAAGAGAGGAGGTTTGGAAATCATTGCTTTGTGCCCCAGGGTTTCTTTCCCTTAGGGAACTGGTTGCCTCCCTTGTTATAAACCTGGATTTAGGTTTTAGACATAGCATAGCTGAATATATCGTACCAAGCAGGTATGCCTTTAAAAAAGCTGGAGAGATACAGAGAGAAATACAAGCAGAAAGGTTGTGCATTTTTTTTACTTATGGGAGTTTAGCTGTAAAGCCTTTTTAAGAAAATACAATTAAATCTCAGCAATTAATTCCTGTAACAGGATGCATCCTTGCCTTAAACATGCTTAATTTGGGGCTTCAGCTCCCTCCTTCTTGGAGGAACAGGCAGGCTGGAAGGATGGGAATTCCTGTATCTCAGATTTTCCTTTCTCACAAAACCCCTCACATCTCAGGGTTTATAAACCCCTGGTACAGAGCAATCCTGCCTCCACAGTGGTGCCATCTCTGGGGATAGGCAGCCTCTGACCTTGGTGGAAAAGGTTAAATTTGCTTTCCTGGCATTCTGGTTGATGTTTGCTGAGTTATGTCATGGTGTCAGTGCCTCGTGCAGAGGCTCAGCAGCTGCTGAGGGAGGTTGGGATGGACTCACTGGGAAAAGCAATTATTTCTGTCTTTGCCTGAAGGGTTCTGATCCCAGAAACACAGGATGCTTTGGGATGGAAGGGATCTGAAAGCTCATCTCATTTGGAATAGGCAGGGACACTTTCTGCTGTCCCAGGCTGCTCCAAGCCTTGTTCCAGCCTGGCCTTGGGCACTGCCAGGGATCCAGGGGCAGCCACAGCTGTGCCAGGGCCTGCCCACCCTCACAGGGAACAATTCCTTCCCAAAATCCCATCTAACCCTGCCCTTTGGCAGTGGGAGCCATTCCCTGTGTCCTGTCTGTGTGAAATGTGCTCTCCTTTTTTCCATCCCTCCTTTAAGTACTGCCAGGCTGCAGTGAGGCCTCCTCAGAGCCCCTTTAGGCTGAATTTCCCCAGAATCTTCTCTTCCCCAGGCTGCACAACCCCTGCTCTCCCAGCCTGCTTTGGAGGAGAGCTTTTTCTGGGATCCTTGCAGGGTTACCCTGCAGAAACCTGGATCCTTGGGAAGGGACACCCGAGCTGGTGACAGCAGCCCAAGGTGATGTGAGCCAGTGTGGCTGGGACTCTCCAGCTCCTTGTGGCTGCTGCTCTCTGCTGACAGCTCTGGGAATGTGTGCAGGGCTCTGGGAATGTGTGAGAGCTCTGGGGATGTGTGCAGGGCTCTGGGAATGTGTGAGAGCTCTGGGGATGTGTGGAGATCTCTGGGAATGTGTGCAGGGCTCTGGGAATGTGTGCAGGGCTCTGGGGATGTGTGGAGAGCTCTGGGAATGTGTGCAGGGCTCTGGGAATATATGCAGGGCTCTGGGAATGTGTGGAGATCTCTGGGGATGTGTGAGAGCTCTGGGAATGTGTGAGAGCTCTGGGAATGTGTGCAGGGCTCTGGGAATGTGTGGAGAGCTCTGGGGATGTGTGCAGGGCTCTGGGAATGTGTGGAGAGCTCTGGGGATGTGTGCAGGGCTCTGGGAATGTGTGCAGGGCTCTGGGGATGTGTGGAGAGCTCTGGGGATGTGTGCAGGGCTCTGGGAATGTGTGGAGAGCTCTGGGGATGTGTGCAGGGCTCTGGGGATGTGTGCAGGGCTCTGGGGATGTGTGAGAGCTCTGAAATCGACCTTGGGTGACCCAGCTGGGCTCTGGGGCTGTGCCTCTGTCCGGGCCCAAACAAGTCTGGCTTTGACTGGGAGCTGCTTTGGGGAGATAATGTGGCTCTGTGCTGCCTTTGTTGGGCAAACACAGAAATGAACTTGTGCTGGTGTGTGGCTGGAGCCAGAGGAATCCCGTGCTGAGATACCAGGGCTGGGTGAAGGTTGGCGCTGACATTTGCTCTGATTATTTTATTTTACTCCAAAGCTTTGCTGACCTGAGCCTGTGGAGTGATCAGAGAACAAATGTCTCTTACAGCCACTCTTAAGTGCTTAAGCCAGTTTTTATGCTTATTTTCATTATTTTGTTATTATATCTTGATTGTATGGTGCAATTGGGCCTTTGCTGTTAATTATTTCCCTTTGCAGTAAATCATGGATTGTGAATGCTCATTGTGTCCTGGTGGAAAAACAGGGTGTTACAGGTGCTCTGAACCTCAAAAAAATGGGGAAAAAAGTAATTTAGTTTCAAAAATAACTTTATGTAATTCAATGCAGGAAACCTGCCAGGTTTTCTTTCTGTACTTGTCAATATTTTTTTTTCTGGTCTGCCTGTTGTTGTTTCATGGGTGTTTTGGGAGCAGCTACACTGTGCTGATTTTGTGGAACAGCAAAGTATCTGTCTTCGCACCATTTTTATTTTAAACAAACCCTAATTCTGTTACCATCTGCTCTATTCAACAGGGAGGAATTTCAAATAAAATCTGAGCCCTTCTCCCTGATAGCCACAGGGGTACATTTCCTAGGCTTAAGGCTATTTTTTAAATTGTTGGTAAAACTAACTAGGACATTTGTTATTAGAGAAACTCTGATTTTTAGACTAATAGATGACTTTATGGAATGAGCAGAAGTGGGAGTAAAATGTATCTTACAGAATGTGTGGTTCTCTGTGGCATGGAAGAGACAGGAGTTTTTGGGCACAGATTGATGTGGAGTAATAATATTTTGGGTGCCTAATATCTCCAAACCCTCCTCCCAGCATCCCTGCTGACACTGCTTTGTAAACTTTCCTCATGCTCCTGATCTCATTGATTTTTTTAATGTTTTCCTGACAGCTGGCCCCAGAGAACACTCTGATGTCCTTCCAGAAGGCAGTGGAGCAGAAGGTGTCCGGAGTGCAGGCTGATGTGGTACTGAGGTGGGTCAGGGGTGCTCTGTGGATGATCCAAGCAGGAATGGTCCAGCACTTCCAGAGTCTGGGCACTGCAGCTTTTCCCTCTGGGAAGGGCTGTGCTGGAGGGCTCATCCAGTGACTCCTGTCTGTCTCTGGCAGATGCTGCTGATCATTTCACTGAGGGATGGTGAAGGGTGGGCTTCTCCAAACAAGGGAACCTGGATCTCTTCGTTGTCTTCATTTGCGAGAAGGCTGTAGTTCATCCTAGAGCCTGGTTTATTCCAGTAAAACACAGCCAGAGCTGCTTAAATGTGACTTCTCCTGGGATACTCCACGTGCAGACAGAGCAGAAATTCCCATTGGACTTGGTTGCACGGCAGAGTTTTCACCACCCTTGACAAACCATCCCAAGAACACACCAGGAGGAATCTCTTCCTTCTCCCCTTCCTCTGGCATTAATCTTTAGGGAAGGAGGGTGCTGACTGTCAGAAACTCATTCCTTGCTGGCAAATGTTGAGCTGAGTGGCCAAGACCAGTTAGAATTTAGAGAGGGGTATTTCCAGAGCTGTGCTTTGTTCCAGGAGTTTGATAGTTCCTTAATATTCCTAATATTCCTGCTCCCAGTTTGTCCCAGTACCACTTACAAACACAAGAAAGACTCAAAGCAGATATTTTATTTTTTCCCTGACTGCTTTGAAGGTTTGTGTTGATGAACAGATATTTTTGCCTGGTAGTAGGAAGTTTTATTTTTAATTACTTTCTTTTTACTTCATATAAACTTTTTTGAGTGAAAATTATTTAAAAACAAGGAATTTCTTCCCACTGGTGAGTGGAAGGTCACTGTGGAAGGATGGAGTATGAATTGGGATGTATGTTATGCGATTTTTTGTTTTTTCCAAAATGAGTTTATCAACTGCTGTGAGGGGACAATACTTGAGTGTCCAGCTCCCAGGTGAGCACTTGGCTCACGTGGCTGCATCCATTAACACTGGCCAAGGAGAAAGGTGGGCTTTGGGAGGAGGAGAGCTGGAAAAGCTCCAAGATCCTTCCCCATTGCCATCCCAGAGGAGCCCTCCAGGCTTCAACAATGCCCTTGATGGCCCACTTTCCTGATCCTTCTCCAAGAGACCCAGGTGCCTTCAGTAAAAGATGATTCCATTGATTTTGAGACTGAGAAGTGGGAGATCGGTGCAGCTGGCAGCATCCTTGGGTTTGCAGCACAACACCCCTTGCTGTCCTTATCCTTCAGGAGATGCTCTTCGTTCCTGTGGCTGGATGGCTCCATCCCTCCTGGAACATCTCCATGTTCTTCTAGACATGTAGCAGCTTGGAGAGGCACTCAGAGCCATCACATCCTGCTGCACACCCACCCCACATCCCAAAGCAGATAGAAAGCCAGCTTTGCTCCAAGCAGCCAGAGCCCAGAATTGCTGCCTGTTCCTCTCCCTCTTCCACCCCCTCCCACATCTCTTCTTCTAAAGCTCTGCTTGCTATCTCTGAATTCCTGCTTCAAACCTGGGCCTGCCAAGACCCTGTGGTTGGCCCTGAGTGGTGCTGGGAGGGAAGGATTGGAAAGGATGGAACAAATGTCAAGTGCCCCAGAGGATTTCTGCACTGTGGTTAAGGCTTAGCAGTGCTCTGCTCTTCTGTGAGATGGTAAACTCAAGCTCCTGGCACTTCAAAGCACTCCACAGTCTTCATTCTGCAGTTGCTGAGCTTTTTTATTTTTTTAATTTTATTTTTAACTGTATTTATTAAACCCTTTGACTGCAGCAGCGTGGGATTGCTGTATCAGCGGGTTGTTTTGGGCTGGGGGAAGGAGGTGCCACAGCACAGGCCAGAAATAGCAAATAAAGGTGCCAGTGACCTTTGTCAGAAGGGACTTCTTACAATTTTACAGGATGGAGCAAATGTTGCCTCAGTGGTAAAGCTGAGGCAACATTTGCTCCATCCTCTAAAACCGGGTTTAATTTTCCCTCTGGGAAACAGCTCTGGGTTGTCTCCTAATTCAAATGGGATTTGTTATTTCACCCCATCATTTTTCAGGCTTTTTCTGAGTCTCCTGTTAGGAACATGGGCTCCTTGCTTTGGAAAATGTCATTGCCACCAGGCTGGGTTTGTCCTGATTCCTGGGTGCAGACAGCTGTTCCCCTGCCTTTGATAAAAACTGTCACTACCCTGTGTGGTTTCACCACTGATCTGATCACAGAAAACGGAGTGGAAGAAAGTTTAAAGAGCTTTTTATGCTTTACAGACCATTATTCTGTAATATCCAGATGACTTAAAAACCCCAGGGCATGCATTTGCCTGCTTTGTTTCATCTGAGAGGTATCAGGTTTTTTTTTTTTCTTTTTTTAAACATGAACTTAACTCATGTGGGCACAAAACCAGTTTTCAATTGGAGAAGGCAATTTCAGAGCATTTTTGGTAGTTTGGGAGCCTTGCATCTTGCTGAAAGCCTGATGTGAGAGGCTTTGAAAATTCCCTTTCTTTCCTGCTGTGTGTTTGTGTGTGTCCGTGCTTCCAGGGAAACCTCTGGATGGTTTTGGGTGCTGCAGAAGCTTTGATGAGCATTCAGGGTGGGTGTTTTTAAGTCACTCTAAGTCAAAACCACCTGAGTTTTGCATTTTTGAGGGGATAAAAGTGGATAAGGCATGGACAGTGTTGTGTCAGTGACTGCCAACACCCTGCAGGTATCTAAGAGAGCTTTTGAGGATGCTGGGGTGGTTTTAGAGTGTGTGAGACCTTCCCAAGGATTTTGATGTGAGAGAGGCTGGAGTGGGAAGGGGAATTTCTCTCCTCCACACCTGTAAGGGGTTCTGTGTTTGCAGCTATGATGGGGTGCCCTTCCTGATGCACGACAAGACTCTCAGGAGAACAACCAACGTGGAGGAGGTGTTCCCAGAGCGCGCCTACGAGCACTGCTCCATGTTCAACTGGACTGACCTGGAGAAGCTCAACGCTGGGGAGTGGTTCCTGCAGGTGGGTGCCATGGAGCCATGGGATCACAGCTCCTGTAAGGTCCCCTTTGAGGGGGAATGGTGTAGGTTTAGTTTAGTTTAGGCTTGGTCTAAGCCAACTTGTCTTTCTGTGCCTCTTCTGGAAAAAGGGGCCTCAAGCCTGGCTGACACCACAAAGAGCTTTAAGACCCCCAGTTATAATTACTTTTTTATGTGATTATAAAAATGACAGACAAAACAGCATGTTATACACTGTTCCCCTTTTTTAAATTTAATTTTGGGACAATCATCTCCACAAAGAAAAAAATAAGAAAGTCTTTGCACTTTGGGCTTTGTGTAATCCTGGGATTGCTTTGCTTCCAGAATGACCCTTTCTGGACAGCAGGGTCTCTCTCAAGGGCTGACTACTTGGAGGCTGCCAACCAGTCGGTCTGCAAGCTGGAAGATATGCTGGAGGTGATCAAGGACAACACATCCCTGATCCTGAACTTCCAGGACCTGCCAGCAGCTCATCCCTACTACAGCACTTACATCAACATCACCCTGGAAACCATCCTGGCATCGGGGATTCGGCAGCAGGCTGTGAGTGCTGTGGGTTTGGAGAAATTTCCAAAATCCCTATTGTTTCCATGAATCCTTGTGTGTCTCCAGTGAGGCATCACTACAAGTTGTGCTGGGCACAGAGGTTGGAATGGAGCACCTGCTACAGCTCAGGAGAGGTTCTTTCTCTCTGGGTATAAGGAAACTGGTTCTCCCTCTTTTTTTAAGTCCCCAAAAGGCTACAACAGAGATGGAGATGAAGAGCAAGAGAAAGATCGTTGAAATATAGATGTGGGGATGTGAGGTGGGATTTCTCCCTCAGGTTTTTGGTTCCGTATTGAAAACGCACATGGCTGCTTCTGTGCTGCTCTGATGCTTTGGTAGATGTGTGTCACTGAGTTATTAAGACCAGGCTGCTTAGAGCTAGAGAAAGGTGTTGGAATGGCAAGGAATGAGATGACTTTAAAGGTCCCCTTCTACCCAGACCACTCTGTGATTCCATGACCCACTTTACCTCTTGCAGCTGAGCGTGAGCTGTTGATTTGACGTGCTTCGGAATCACGGTGTGAGCTCAGGAATTCCGTGCCCTGGGCTGGATTTGGGAGCCACATTTGCCATACCCTGAGCCCTTTCTTGCTGCCCCCGCAGGTGATGTGGCTGCCAGACACGGAGAGGCAGCTGGTCAGGCAGGTTGCCCCTGGTTTCCAGCAGACCTCTGGCCTGAAGCTGGACGCAGAGCGCCTGCGGGAGAAGGGCATCGTGAAGCTCAACCTGCGCTACACCAAGGTCACCAACGAGGAGGTCAGGTACTGCCAGAGCCCTCAGCATCCCTCCCTGAGCATCCCAGCCTGTCTGCTGCACTCAGGGATCTTTCCAGATGGATTTGCTCTGGAAAGCTTGAGCTGGGCAAGCTTTTCCCTGCCCATCATCCGGAATCCAGGCTGTTTCTGGGAAGGCACAGCTGCCTCTGACATCTCTACATGCTGCCTCAGGATATGATGGGCCTCTTTGAAATACAAATGTATGAATTGGCTGATTCTTATTGCACTCACAGTTCTGGGAAAAAGTGAAGGCCTTTCACACTGAGTTCCCTCAGAGTGTTGCTTCATCCTCATTTACAGCTGCCCTTTGTCTGCTCCAGAGCTGCTAGCATGGAATTTTGATTAGCCCAAAGTCTGGATATGCTTTCAGAAATTTCTCTTTGCAGAAAGAGAAACTCCTGTCCTGTATCACCTATTTAGCTCTTCTCTGTAATGGCCCTGGCACAGCAAGGGGATCCTGCCCTGCCTGAGCCTATGTGTGAACTCTGTGGTGTTTTAGCTCCCAGCTTTGCCCCCTTTTCCAGGGAGGGCACATTGCTTCTGGTAGGGCTTTTCTGGTTTTTGAAATTTAAATTAAAGAGGTTTGCAGCAGAGAAATACCTCCAAAGGAGCTGTCTGGCTGCATGTCAGAGCTGAAGTAGGGAAGAACTGAGCCTGCAGCTGTTTGAGAGCGTGGCCCTGTTTGGGGAGATCCAGCTGTGTCCTTCTGTGGCTGCCAGCAGTCAGCCCAGCTCCTCACCCTTAAAACCAAGGTTGTGCTTTACCTGCAGGATAATCCCTGCTTATTTTTCCTCCTGTTTGCTCTGTCCCATGGAGAAGGCTCTATGCCAACTCACTCATCTATCGCAGTTTAGCCCCAATCTCCCATCAACCCCACCTGAGCTGCCTCCAAAATAAGAGCTGTCACCTAAATGTTTCTTGAACCCGGTGGTGCCCAGCCAAATGTTGCTGCAGCCCTGGTTTAACACAGTTCTGTCAATTCTCCCCAAATCCAGCACCTGAATGCAGCATTGCTGCAAGCACCCCTGCCCTTGAGCACCCCTTTGGAGCACGTTGTTCCTGCTGAGAGCTGGGAGATGTCCGTGTCTTGCACTGTGTCCCCTTCCATCTCAAATTGTTCTGCTGGTGCTAAATTGCAGGGATTAATCTGTGCTGCCCGTGTGAGGGGGATTGTTGATGCTTCTCCTTCAGAGATGAGGAAACAGAGCAATTTATGTGAATTATCCGGGTACCAGGTAATTGCCAGTGCTTGGTTTGCTGCTGGCAGTTTTAGCTGCTTGGAAAATGACCTCAGGAGACTGGAAGCTGTAGCTCTGCAATTGTCCCCAAACCAAGGGCATGGAAGTTGCAGGAGGTGATGCTGGAGACAGGTCTGCCAGTGTTTAATTAAGCAGATTGCCCCCGAAATGTTCCAGGCGTCTGAGGCAGATGCTAATTTCGCATCAACACGACGAGATGGTTGTTCCAGGAACACACCATGTCCATCATTCCTGGGGAAGCATCTGAGATGGTCTGTGGCCTGTGCCAGACAGCAGCCAAGAGGTGAGGGAAGCTGTCAGGATCAAACATTGCCCTGCAGTGCTCATGAGGCACCCACACCCTGTTAAAAACTTCCCACAACTCAAACCACACAAACCCAGCTGGGGCTGATGGCAAGAGATGGGGTTTGGTGGGGTCCTGCATGTCACCCTGTGTTTGCCCTGGCAGGGACTACAGCATGGCCAACCTGAGTGTGAACCTGTACACGGTGAACGAGCCCTGGCTGTTCTCCATCCTCTGGTGCGCCGGCGTCCCCTCGGTCACCTCCGACAGCTCCCACCTCCTCCGCAAGGTGCCTTTCCCCATCTGGCTCATGGTAAGCACTCCCTGGCGGCCTCTGGCACCAGGAAATGCACGGGGGGGTGTGGGGGTGAGAGGTTTTCCAGGCAGGTTTGGCTGGGCTTGAGGGTTTTCCCTCTCTGTCCAGCTGAGCCCTGAGATGGTGATGAATTGGCGCTGCTCTTGCACAATCCTGTCAGTTTGGGTGGGATCCTTGAAGACTGCATTGCACTCCCTATTCAACCCACATGGCTTTTCCAGTTCTCCTCTGAGGGAAGAGCACCTTTGCAGACCTGCTGAGCAGCTGTTAAGAGTTGCAGGAGAAGCAGGAGCACAGATGAACCAGCAAACCTGGCCTCTGTGTCTTGGCCAAATTGTAAAATTAGGTTTTTGTCTGTTCTGAATCCCAAATTGAGGATTTACCTCTGGTTACCCCATTTCTGGACAATAAGCAGAGACCCAGTGATGATGGCTCAGCTGGTGTGATGACCACTTAGAGTGACAACTGGAACCAGACCTACCAGTGCCTGAAAGGACAGAAATCGCATTTAGAGCATGGGGCTGTGTCTAAAAGGTTCCATCTGCACTTAAAATGGACCCTACATGGATATATTTACCTGTTTTCCCCCAGACTTGGATTCCCAAACAGCATCTTGCCCTCACCCTGAGGTACAACTGGGATAGGAAACTTTCAGCCCAGAGAGCTCTGAGAAAATGTCAGCGCACAAAAAGGAGGGAGAGTTTCAAATTGTTCCTGTTTGCAGTTTCCCCTGATAGTTTTGGATGACAGCCTGGCATTAGGAAGGTCATAAATATTGTGATTTATACCGAACCCCTGCAGTTCTGTGCTTTTCTTGCTCCTCAGTGATAACTCCAGCCATGTGTGGTCTCCCTGTGGTTGCACAAACCCAAATGTTTAAGGTCTGCTCCTGTTTTCTGTTTTCTTGCAGCCTCCAGACGAGTACCACCTAATCTGGATCACGTCTGATCTCATTTCATTTCTTGTAATTGTAGGAGTTTTTATATTCCAGAAGTAAGTTTGTTAAAGCTCTGCTCCTGTGTGTTTGTGACCTGTGGTTTTGTCCAGATTGTTGGGTGGAGGTGGGAGAGAGGAGTACCCCGAGCCTCAGTTCTTGGATTGCAATAGCAGGGGAAATATTCATTAAAAAATCATTGCAAACAATAATTCCACTCCCAAGGTGGGATGGAGAATTGGATGCACCTTTTAAGAATGAGAGATCACAAGTTAGTAGTGTCAGATGCCTTCCTTTGCTCCTAAAATATGTGGAAGAGAAACTGTAAATGCTTTAGGGAAAAGGATGTTGACAAAGACATCACAGTGCTTTAAAGGAAGAAGAGGGGAGGGATTTTGAGATTCCACCACTACAGTGTTCAAAAAGAACATGTTACAGTTGTCTTAAATCAGTTTGTTCCTGTTTGGATGTAGAAATATTATGGAATCATGCAATGCTTTGGGTTGGAAGGGACCTTAAAGATCATTTAGTTCCAACACCCCTGCCACAGGAGAGAGTCACTATGGGAAATGTTGTGATTCTGCAAATCAAATCTGGTGCTCAGTTAGAAAGAAGAAAGAGAAGCTCTGCTCCAGAGGTCGGACTTTACTGCAGCAGAGGGCTTGCTCTCCCAAGAGCCCTGTGCAGGACAGAGCCCTTTCCCTGGTGCTGCAGTTTCTCCACCACATGAAAGAGTTGCTAGCAGGGTTGAGGATATATCAAAACCAAATCAGAGCAGAATTGCCCAACTGCCACCTGCTGATGTGATTCAGCTCTGGGGAATGGGGCTTGGCATTTGGCCCTCAGTGTCTTGGTTGATTTTTTTTTTTCCTGTGTTGTTGGTTGGTTGTTTTGGTTTTTTTCCCCCCAAGTGCTTTTTGGGGCAAACCAGAGCTGCTTCCTTCGTGCAAGGATGAGGGGTGGGTGGGAGCAGAGGCTTCAATGTGCTCATGCTCTGTCCTCTGCATGGCTTCTCTCTCTCAGCCATGGTAGGGACTGCTGCTGCTCTTCTGCTCCAGCCCCAGTGACAGGATCCTGGCAGCCTCTCCAGAGGGGGAATACCAACTGTGATGACTTCTAACTAACCTTTTTTTGCCTCTTTGCCTTGTTTATTTTCTTACTGCTCTGACTGTTGTGCATGTTCCTCCTCTCTCTCTCTCTGCTGCATTCTGGCATCTCACAGCTATCACATGATCAGGTAATTCTGGTGCTTTCCTCCTCTTTCTCTTTTTCATTCAGCCTTCCTTTCTCTCTTTCTTTCTCCCTCTCTGCTATGGCTTCACTGCAGGTGGTCAGGGCAGGATGCAGCTTTTCTGATGCTTTCCAACATCTGGCTTCAGGAGGGGACCATGAGGGTGTGAACATTGCACAGGCCATAGCCAGGAGCACCAGGGAAGGCTGATGCTGAAGCCAGTGGATGTTTTGGAGGCAATCTGACCTCCTGTGACAATGATCTGAGTCAGTGCCTTTTAAAACAGCCCAGTTCTGAGGCCACACTGTAATTGGGAGATTCCCAGAGGATGTAATGCTTTCTCTGTGGAAATAATCCCATGTAAAATATCCCCTTCCTTCCTGTATTTACCAGAGATGTTTGAGACCAGCCTATATCCCAAAGAAAATCATGGAATCTATTCAATTATACAAAGTAGCACTTCTCTGAATGAATGGGGCAGATAACTGGAAAGGTTTGGCTCATCAGTTGGGATCTTCCCGAGCTGCACCACTGTGAAGCTGAAAATACAGAGTGAAAACAAGGAGCTCTGCAGCAGGGGAGGGAACTGAGCCTGGGGTGCTGGATTCGAGGTGCCATCACTCAGAACCCCAGATTGCTCCTCGTTTTGGCCCTTCCCTCACCAGTCATTCCCACCCTTTGGAGGGAAGTGCTGGCTCTTGTCTGCACTAAAGCCTTCACTGCCTCCCCACCCAGACCGAGCTCTTCACCTGTTCCCTTCTCCATTTCTCCTGCTCTGGGCCATGGCCTTGCACCCCTGAGCATTTGGTTGCCCCCATCCTCTGCCTTGGGGTCAGGGTTGGTCCCTGAGGTGTCCATGAGATGCTTTGGTGTTCTGGTCCCGTGGCATCTCCCAAAGCAGGGCTGGGCTGAGCCCTCCTGTGGGTGCAGGGAGGTCGGGTGCTCTCCCCTTCTCTCTCCCCTTGCCCATGGATGAGGAGAGGCAGCTTTAGGCAGGCTTTAGGCAGGAGCAGGCACACCAGGGGGACTCTGCAGCTGGCTTGGCTCTGTGCTTGCTCCATCTTACCACCTCAGTGACAAACAATCCCATTTTTCCTCTCCCACCCCTTTCCATGGCATTGAGCATCCCCCCTCCGCAGCCCCCGGGGTCTGGCCATGGCCCTAACCCAGTGTATGCTGTCTCTGTGTTGTTGTCCCAGTATTTTTTAGTCTGTTCCCACCCCGTGTCCGTCTGGTCTGCCCTGACGCCAGCCTCCCAGAACAGGACCTTCCTGCTGTCTCTGGCCTTTTTGCACGCTGCTGTCCCAAACCTGGGCCACCACAACAGAGTCCAAGGGGGTAGGAGAGGTGCTCTTTTCTATTCAACCAGCTTTCTGGAGACCCCGAGGCTTCTGAGCACAGCACAGAGTTTTACATGGTGTTGGTTGGAGTTAAATGTCCTGGTGGCCCTTTTGAGAGGATATTTCAGAGACATGGGGTGACCCTTTCCTGGCTCACCCCTGTGAGAGGAGCCATGTGTGTGTTTTACCCCCCCTGGCTCTGCCCACAGCCACCACGAGAGGTGGAGAGCACAGAGCAGTGCCTGCTCCTCTGGCCAGCAGGAGAAAAGCCCTTGGTCCCTGCACATGTTTGGGGCTGGGCTCTCTGTGCCTCAGAGGGACCCCTCTCCTCCCTGGGATAGCTGGGGTCTGTGGGCAAGGGGTCACTTTTGGCCACTGAGTGACTTGATGCTGAAAATCCTGGTGTGGTGGGCAAAGAGAATACTTGCACCAATGTGTTTTCATCCTGATTTAGAGTTTGAGGAGGATCTTGTACTGTGAGATCTTGCAATCACATTAATGGGATCTAAGGCAAAAAATGCAGGGGATACTAAGGCAAAAAACATGTTCTTCCAGGTCAGATTGGTTCAGTTTAGATGATGATGATAGAAGAAAAAAAATATTTGTTTTATACTTCAATGTTTTTGCCTCCTTGTGCTTCCTCTGCATTGCTTCTGTCCATGGGTCTGTGAGTTGTGTCGTGTTGCCATCCCACCCCTTCTTTTCTGTGTGGCCTCCATCTGTACCCTGCTCAAAGCCTGATTCAGGTCACCCAGTGTCAGACACTGGGACTTGGGAAGGGGGTGGAAGCCCTACAAAACTGACACCAGCTGCATTTACCTGGGATAAAAATTGCAGAACCTCCTTTGCGGGTGTTGATTTGTCAGGTTGATGCCGTAGACCCAGGCTGGAGATTTGTGGGCTCCTCAAATCTTCTGTTCCTGAGGCTGGCTAGGGGGTTAGAAATGGAAAAGGTGATTGTGTTGTCACCTTCTCTTGTGTGGGTGAGCCACTAGATGGTGCCAGCAGATCAGAAACCTCATAAGCCACCCTAAATCCCTGCTGTTTCCTTATAAAATAGTTTCAGGGCATCCCTGGCTCTGGCAGGGAGAGTGGGGTTTGCTGATGGCTCGGTGGGGTGTGGGCTGTGAAAGCCTGGCCTAAACATCATCCCCTTGTGGTGGGATCTTGGGAGCAGCTGCCTTGGCTGAGCCCCCCAGGCTGTGTTTCCCCTGTTCCAGCAGCCCACCTTCCCCTCCCCATGGGGGTCTGCCACAGGGCTGCTCTCAGTGTCCCCAAGTGCCACATCCACGTGGCTGCTAAATCCCTCCCAAAGACGGGCACTCCACCACTGCCCTGGGCTGGAGTATTTTTTGGGGCAGGAATATTTCCTGTACCAAATATAAACCTCCCCTGTCACAATCTGAGGCCATTTCCTTGCTGTGCCTCAGGTTTGAAACTTTAAATTGCCTCTGAGCTCTCTTCTCCCACAAGCCTGACCATGGTGAGGGAAAATTTGTGGTTTCTTTACTTGGCTGGTTCTCTTGTTCTGTTCCCTCTAAAAGTTTAAACACCTCTGCCTCCTTTGCACAACTGGAGAGAGCTGTGAGACAGCTACTTGTGGAAATAGTTCATGGATTTGTGAATCCATGGGCTTAATTCCCAGGTGGAAATAGGGTGCTTAAAGATGCCTGAGGTCACTCATCTCTGATCCTCCTCCTCCACGCGGGGTTGTGCAAGGGAGCAGAGGGTCCCTGGCACTGAGGGTGCTCCTGTTGTGCAGAGGCAGTCCCTGAGATGCTGCTCCTGCCTTGCAGGTGGCGCCTGGGCAGCATCAGGACCTACAACCCCGAGCAGATCATGCTGAGCGCCGCCGTGCGCCGCTCCAGCCAGGACGTCAAGATCATGAAGGAGAAGCTGATCTTCTCAGGTAGGCATGGGGCTGCTGGTGCCTCCCCCAGCTCTCACCCCACTGAGGGAGGAGCTGCTGTGATTCAGGGGTTTTCCTGCTGTGGGTCAGGGACTGGGCTGACCTTGGGATGTGGGCATGGCTCATGGGGGTTGGAATGGGATGATCCTTAGGGTCCTTTGCAGCCCAAACTGCTCTGTGATTTTGAGGCCCATCCCATCAGTGATAAGCTCAGAAATCCTGCATTTAGCTTCCCTGGTTATCCCATCTCACACTGTCCCACATCTTCTCCACTCACCATCGTCAGAGGCCAAAAAACCCACTAATAATGGCACATGTGACCACAGACATGGTGATGAGGTTGGGGCAGACCTGGAATTCAGGGGCATTCCTGGTATCCTCATGCTCCTCCCAGAGTTTATTTCTGTTGGAACACATTGGCAATGTGTCCATCACACTCTACCTCTAAGAAAGATAGCAAAACTGTGAGCAAAGATGGAAATGTTTATCTTTCAAAGGTTAAATGTGGTGCATGAAGCTGGAAAGCTCACCTTTGAAGGAATGTGAATATAATCCCCCCACCCCCTGAGCTTTGTTATGGGTTTTCTTTTGTTGTATTTAGGGTCTGGAGATGCCCAGCAGGGATCAGGGTTTAGTGCTCTGGGCACAGACAGAGCAAAAAGGCAACATTGCTTGCTGTGTGAAATGCCAGCCAGAGGGGCTGAAAATCAGCTATAAATCCAGGGAACCCAGACAGGGAAAGCAGCTTGGCACAGCACAATTAAGCTTCCCTAACATGTCCTAGACATAAAATCCCTTAGAGGTGGGGGGTGCAGAATGAAGTTTTGTGCCTCTGAAACAATTCTATTCCTGCTTGCTTAGGGTGGATGTGAAACATTAGAACCATTAAAACATTGTGGGTGCAGGTTTTTCCCAGTGAAACCAGTGACTGGAGGAGCCAGACCTTTTCCAGGATGGGCAGGAATTAGGTTCAGGTACTTTGTACCACACTCCCACAGGTGACTTGCCCAGCCTGTGACAGTGACATCAGGTGTAGGGGATGCAGAGGGGATGGCAGGGGGGATCCAGCTCTGCTCTGGTGGTGGCTGGATTTTGAAAGGCTGAAATGTAGAGCTGAGCTCCAACCTGGAGGCAGCATGTTCAGAACTGGCTGTAAATGACAGCAGATCAGAGGGATGCCATGTGCTGGGATTGCATGGCTGCTCAGCACCTCAGTTCCCATCCAGGGGGAGGCTCCTGGGATGACCTCCCTGCTTTCTGTGCCCTTCTCAGAGATCAACAACGGCGTGGAGAGCACGGATGAGCTGTCCTTCTGCTCCGAGAACGGCTTTGCCAACGAGCTGGTGACACCCACGGACACCAAGCTGCGAATCAACTGAGGCTCTGCCATCACCTGAGGGCTCTGCCATCACTGAGGCTCTGCCATCACCGAGGCTCTGCCATCACCTGAGGCTCTGCCATCACCTGAGGGCTCTGCCATCACTGAGGCTCTGCCATCACTGAGGGCTCTGCCATCACCTGAGGCTCTGCCATCACTGAGGCTCTGCCATCACTGAGGCTCTGCCATCACTGAGGCTCTGCCATCACTGAGGGCTCTGCCATCACTGAGGCTCTGCCATCACTGAGGCTCTGCCATCACTGAGGGCTCTGCCATCACCTGAGGCTCTGCCATCACTGAGGCTCTGCCATCACCGAGGCTCTGCCATGCTCCCGCAGCGAGAGCCGTGCTCTCCTGCCTCCCTCCCTGGGATGGGAAGCTCTGAGGAACTGCTGCTCGGGCAGAAACCCGCTCCCACTCCCCGCCACTGGCTGCTCCTCCTCCCTGGTTGTGAGGCTGGGGGGCTTGTTTTTGTAAATATGTAGAAAATCTGAAAAATTTTTTTGTCTTTTTTTTTTTTTTGAGTGTAATTTTTCCAGGGCATGAGTGGAAATACTGTGTTCATTAAATCCTCAACCTTATGGCTGAAGTTCTTGGATCTTGATGTGAGAGCCTGAGTCCCCTTGGGGGGTTTTGGGAACAACACATTGGACCTGTGTCCCATTTCTCCCCCTTTCCCTAATCCAGTCCTTCCCCCGGTGCAGCGACTGTGTAGCTGAATGTTGTGGTGTTCTTGTGAAGTGTTGATTTTGTTATGGTTTCTTTTGTTTTGTTTTTCCCCCGTTCCCCTTTTCCTGGGCAGTGAAATTGTAGCTCTGATGCAGCAGGAGGCTGCTGGGAGAAGGGAAGCTTGCCTGGGAGAGGAATTCTCGCTGCTCTTCCCTGCTGAGGTTCAGAGCCAGGGAAGGGCTTGCACTGGCTCTGTCACTTGGGCACCTGCTCCTTGTCGCACCCTCCTTCCCCAAAGCCTGGCTGCTCCATGGGGAATGGCCTTCTTGGAATGTCCTGCCAGGGTTTTGAAGGCAAATCCTGAGCTGGAGATTGGTCTCTGCTGGCAGCAGTTCTGGATCTCTATTTTTTCCCCTTTTTTCCTCTCTTCTCCCCAGCTGGGCTCTGCTGGGATCTGGCTGAAGTGCCTGCCACTCCAAGTGGCGTTTGCAGTCACTCCTTGCTTCCCTTCAGGAAGAGGAGCTGCTGGTGCACTGGGAGCTTCCCAAGGAGATGCCCCTGGGAGAAGAAGCTGTAAATAGTCTGGAAGGCAAAGCAGCCCTGGGATATAATTTATTCCTGCAAGGAGACCTTTGCTCCTTGCTGCAAAAGCAGGACCTTTAAAGCTGCACACTCGTGTCCTCCAAAGGAGGGATGGTCTTGCAGCAGATGCTGACGGGATCTCAAGGCAGAGGCTCCCATCAGCAAATTTCCAATGCAAAAGGCTTTAACCCAAACTCTTAGATCAGAGGTTAAAAGTAAATAAATAAAATTTTAAAAAAAAGGTAAAAACTGGAAAAAAAAATAGGAGAATGCAATCTGGGGAATGCTGATATACATCACATTCCACACCCAAAGCCATGAGAGAAACAGTCCTGAGTAGTTTCTTCTTGTTTTGGAGCTGCTCTGTCCTTTTAAGCTGAAGTCCTGTGGCATTTTGAAACCCTGAAGTTTGGGCTTAGTGTCTAAAAGTTGGGGGCAAAAGTGGCCAACCTCACTATGTGGAAAAAAACCTTCTTTGATTATGACAATGTGAATTTTGATGCTCTACAAAGCACCACCCAAAACCAATTGCATCTACCCCAGTTTTTATGAGTGTAAGTGGAATAAGTTCCTCCTCTTACCTTCCCCAAATACTGTCCGTCTCCATGGTACTCTCCAGTCCCTGAAATGCAGCGTGTCTTGCTCTGCAGAACTGCAAGATTTGGTGGGTTTGAAGGGATTTTGAGAACAAAGCTGCTTCTCCCTTTGATGTGGTGCTGTTCTGAACCATTCCTGGTGGATTGTCATTGCCAAGTGAGAGATGTTGTTCAACCTCAGCATCTGTTGGTGATCACCTGCATGTTCTGTTTCTATCCTTGGAGATGACTTGATTGAAAGGTTAAGTGCTTAAGAGCTTGGAAGTGATAAAAGCAAACCAACAAAGAGTTCTTTTCACAATTAACTTTTTTTTTTTTTAAACAAGACCCAAATTTCATGCATAATGCACTGACTGTTATTGTCCTGAATATTTGCTACCCTTTTTTTGGAAAAACAGCAGAGGAAGATACTTTTTGAATGAAACTAGAGCTAGATCAAAATAAACTCTGCATTGCTCTGTGAAATAAACTGTCAGTATTCCCCTGCCAGTCTGTCATTGTTTTGTGTTATGGCACTACACAGAGGCTCCCACTGCCCAACCCAGAGAGTTCTCCCATTATTTTCTGTATTGCTCAGCACTTCATTTTAACCCCAGAGGTTTAAAATCCCTGGGAGCAGTTGGAATCAAGAGCAAATAACACAAAAAACAGGCTTGGAGAGAATATGAAACCTTCCAGAGATTTACTTTTCCTAGTGCTTTTTTAATTTAACCCAGGACTCCTCTCTTCCCCCTAGACCCCATATTTTTAACTCGGGGGGTTTTTTTCTCAAAAATAATTCCCTGCCTAGGCTGGGAAAAAAACCCCTCCAAATTATTTAGAGGATTTGGGATGGGTTCAGTTGGTCAGTAGGAGCAAAAACTTGGCAAGAAATTCCTTATCTCTTGGGTTCAGCGAGAGGCTCAACGTGAACACGAGTGAAAATACATTCAAAATAAGAATAAAACAAATAAAAATAAAAGCAATAATAATATAAACAACAATAATATAAAATAAATTTTAAAACAAAAATAATTTTAGCTATTTAAGCCCCAGTGGCGCTGCAGTTCCGCCGCCGCCCACCGGAGGGCGCTGCTCTGCACCGCCGCGCTGTGTCCGCCAGGCGGCGCCCGCGGGGCTTGGGGGGTCCCGGGGCCTCGCTCGTTCCCAGCCGTGATCCCGGTCCCGATATCCCGGTTCTGATGCCGGTCCCGGTTCTGATGCCGGTCCCGGTTCTGATCCCGATGACAGGTGAGGACGGTACAGGGAGGGGACACGGCCGGGCGCCATCCCTGTCCCTGCAGCGTCCGAGCCCCGGCTCTGCCCACCCCCAGACAACGTCCCGTGCCACTTCGTGGCCGCCTTCGGCGCCGGGTTCTGTGCCACGGTGGTGGCGTCGCCGGTGGACGTGGTGAAGACGCGGTGCATGAACGCCAGCCCCGGGCAGTCCCGCAATGCCCTGAGCTGCCTGCTGGCCCTGCTCATGCAGGGCGGCCCCGCCGGCCTCTACAAGGGGTGAGTTCAGCTCCTGCGGACCGGCCGCGGCACAGAGCCCCAAACACCCCGACCCGCGGGCAGGATTTGGGGGATCCCCGCTCTGGGGATGTCCCCGCACGTCGCGAGCCTCGCCGGGCGGCCCGTGGCTCCTGGAACGTGGTGATGTTCGTGTCCTACGAGCGGCTGCAGCGCCTGATGGTGCTGGCACGGCCGGCGCTGGCCTGAGCCCCCGGCGCCCCGGGCCGCCCGGCGAGGCTCACATCGATTACATTAATCGCATCCATTCTGTTCATTGCCGGGGAGCAGCGGAGCCAGGGGCCCGGGGAGGGACGCGAGGAGGAGGAGGATGCTGTAGGAGGAGAAGCGCGGGAGAACAGAGGCTTTCAGATAAGAGTTGTAAGGGACGGAGGAAAAAATGTTTGTTGGCTTTGCAGCCGGGAAGAGCAGCGCTTCCCGAGGGCGGTGCTGTGGGCAGGCGGGACCAAGCTGAGGGCCAGGGAATTCCCGTTGTTCCTCACTGGCGCTTCCAATAAATCGCCCCTGTGGGGTGTGATCACAGCGTGGCTCAGGGTTTCTTTGCCTTTTTGGGGTGTTCAGGGCCATTGTCCAGCTCTACGTGTGACACAAGTCCAGCACATTCTCTGTCACTGCCGGTGCACTGAACAACTTCCCACTGATCTCTGATTATTCGGGTCATTGTCACAATCACCAACAGCAGCTCCACCTTCTGCCCTGCCGAGGCAGCAGGTCCTTGACCCACGGCCATCTCTCTAAAGCCTCAAATGGTCCCGTTATAGGACAGTGAAGATGTGTATCCTGAGCAGGAGAGGACACAGAATTCCCTTTCCCTGTTTCCCAAGCATAAACCGCTGGGAATTGCTTTCTCCCCATGGGTCACTGGCAGGAACAAGGTTCCCTCTGCTGTCACTCCATCTTTAGCACCCTCATTTGTCACAGACGCTCAGCTCTGTTTCAGGGACTCCCGTCAGACACCTGCTGGCTGTGATCAGAAGCAATTCCCCAGGCGGGTTTTACCCCCGGGAGCAGCAGGAATGGCCAAGGACAGCTGCTGTCCCGGGACAAGGCGGCCGGGCTGCGGTTCCGTGCCCAGCCCCGTGCCCGCCTGCAGAACGCGGGGTCGCTCTCTCCGCCCCGTCCCTGTGCCGGGATCGGGACAATTCCCCGGCTCGGGCAGGGGACGGTGCCCTCGGGTGCCCCCGGAGGGGACAGGGGTGCCAGGGGCCAAACCCCGGGCGGGGCGGCACCCCCAGGGCCGTGTGTGCCGTGGCGCTGCTGCCGGAGCCGCTGCCGGGCGGGACGGGTCTGTGCCGGCACTCGCGGCTCGCTGCGATCGCGGTCCATGGAGCGAAACCCGCGCCGCGCTCCGGCTGCGGTTCGATGGGATGGGCTCCGCTCTCGGCAGGCAGCGGGACGGGGGTCCCTGTGCCACCCCACGGGTCCCAGAGAGAAGCTGCTCCTGTGGCCGAGGAACAGCGGGGAAACTGAACAGTCCTGAGGGAAACCGATGGAAAAACAACTTTGGTTTGGGTTTGGACGTGACATTTTCCCCTGGCCCCCACCTGATCCGGGTGTTTTGCCTTAGGGAACAGGAGCCAGAAGGGGGAATGGGGAAACAGATAATTTGTTACCCCAAAAGGGACGAGCCTATTTCTGTTAATTCCTGAAACACCTGGAATGATTTGGGTCTGGGAAGCACCTGGGAGCCTCCCTTGGAATCCTGGGAGGAGCCGTGGTTATAAAAGGAGGAAAGGATGGAGGCAGGGGGGGTTCGGGGGGGAGAGGAGCAGCGCTGCCTTGGGGATTGGCATCTGGAAGCGGCCACCAGTTTCCTGCTGGGAATCCCGGAAAGAGAACTCGGTGAGAAATGCGAATGCTGCAGCTGGAGTGCTGGGAGGGGACAGTCTGCAGGGAATGTGTCTGGTGAGTCTCCTCATGCCCCATATCTGATGCTGGGCTGGCACCAGGGCACCTCATTCCCATTGAAACTCTCTCGAATTGCACTTAAATTAAAAACCGGACTGCAAAAGGCACGTGGGAAGCTTTGTGTCCCTAAGGGAATGCTCTGGGGCTATGCAGCCTCTAACCTGCACAAATAACTCCTGCTCCCACAGAAGCCGGCTGGCTCTAGGGCAGGAGTGGCAGCAAAGTGGCAGCTCCAGTGCCACCCCAATAAGTGACTGTCCTTGGGGCTCTCGGGGCCGGGAGGGAATGCTGTCCCTGCCCCTCTGGGAAAGCAGGAGCAGGATCAGGGCCGCAGCTGTGTCTGTTCCTGCTCTCTGTCTCCAGGGTGCCCCGGAGGGCTCTGGCTCGGGATAATCTGTGTGTGAGAGCTTCCCGTGCCTGTGCCAAACCCCTCTGGGCACAGAACGTGCCCAAAAGCTCCATTAACCCTTTCTGTTCTGCTGGCAGGGCAGCGTGTGAGCCCAGGCCCTCCTCCCTGGAGCAGGGACACCCGAGGATGAGCCCCAGGGATTCAGCCATCAGAGCAGGTGAGGATGGATCTCTTTGCCCTTGGCAATTGCTCTGCTGGTTTAATGTCACACTGCAGGGCTCCTCCAGCCCCTGTGCCCTGCAGCCGCACCCACAGCCCCTGGGCTGGGCAGGGAACAGCTCTGGGAGGGAAATGGATGTGCAGGAAATTTCCAGAGTCTGACAGAAGGGCCACATAGTGTGGATCTGTATGGAAATTCTGAGGTAAGAAATGCTGACTTAGAAATGCCACGGAATAGGACAGACATTGCTGAGAGAGAACTGGAGCTGGAAACAAGTTGTAAAGGATGACTTTGTAAATAAGACTGGATACCTGAGAGAAATAGAACTATGAAAGATGCATTGTAATAAGATTCACAGGGGGTAATTTTAGATGATTGGCTTTAAGGCATTTACAGCATGGTGTGGCAAAAGCTGACAGGCCAAGAAACACTTACAGTGTATTGGAATTAGGAAATAGTTGGCTGCTGATTGTGATGGTGAATTCTAACATCTGTATTGTCTCACCCTTCACATGAAACTGAACATGGAATCCAAGTTTTTAAAATGCCTCTCAGTTGCCCCATGTCTGGGTCAGAAAGGAGCATAATCTGATAAACTGGAGCTTTGTGTGAGGAAGATTTAACAGATTCCTCCCAACCTTCTCTGGGGTTTTTGTGCCCAAGGGGCTCTGACCCCAGAGCCACACAGGGTGTCTGTGCCTGCATCAATGTCAGTGCCATTTGCCAAGTCTGGCAGGAAAGCAGAAACATCCTGGGTTTGTTTGGCCAGAGATGGAACATGGAGATGTCTGTACTAGCAGGGTGTGAGTGCTGCCAGCCTGGGCTCTGTGGTGCCCCTGTCCCTCAGCATCAGGACAAGGAGGGAAGCTGCAGGTGAGGCAATTTTGGCTGTTCCAGGCTGCTTGGGCCAGAACTGGCAGCACTGGAAGAACAGCTTTCCTCCTTCTGTCTGTCCATCCCTGAGCAGAACATTGAGATGATGCTGCACTGAGCCCTCTCTTTTGTGGGCTGTTGTTTGGTTGGTTTGTTTGGGTTTTTTCTGTTTTTAATGTTTTCTAAGTGGTGCAATGAGGAGCAAGGTGCTGGTTACAGATTTCTGACTGACACATCACAGAAATGGGCACAGGTGAGTGCATGTGCTTCCTGGCACATCCAGTGTGCCATCCTGAGCGAGGATTTCCAGCCCCAGCAGCAGTGGCACAGCTCCTCACTGCTCAGTCACTGTAACAGCTCCCTCCTTTCCTGGGCACATCCCTGGAGTGGGAGCAGAGTCCCCTGACCCTGCAGAAATCCCCTGCTCCTCTGGAGAGGGGTGAGGCCAAAGCCTGGGGGCACAGGACAACAGCCAAACCAGGGCCATTGTGTCCTTGGTGCATCCAGGACAGCGTGTTTGCCTTGTTCCCAGCACTGGTGAATCTAAACAAGATTTATTTTTGACAAGATTGCCTGTTCTGCATTTCTCCAGCTCTCCCCCACACCTGGCCCTGCAGCTGTAGCTCACCTTGCCCTGGCTGTGGCTGATAAAATATCATTTTTGTAGCAGCAATCCATTCTTTTAAAGAGCACAAAGAGTGCACAATGCAGCAGAGACTTTGGGAAATCCATCCAAGTAAGGGACTCTGCCTTCCTGCTGTTCCTGTAGCTCTCCTTCCTGCTTTCACCTGGGCTGGCAGGATGGGCAGGCCCATATTTATCATATCAAAGTGCTGTTTCTGGATTTGTCCAGAAGTTCTGATTGCAGACACTCATTTTCTGACAGCAAACATTTTCACTTTGCCTTTGCCCTGTTGTTCCCAGGTGCTGCCCAGGCTGTCTCTCTGTGCTCCCAGGAGGAAGGGCAGCCCCTGCCTGGCCTGCCCAGCCCAGCTGGATGGGACAGGATGGTGTGGCCTGGCAGGGCAGGAACAGCTGGCTGTGCTCTGGAGTGCCTTGGACCCTTCCCCTGGCAGCTTTGGAGGGGTTTGTCTTTGGGATTGCTTGTGAGGCACCAGCCCTTTGTACAAAGCCCAGTGCTAAAGGAGTGACAAGTGAGATGTGAGACAAAAATGGTTCTCTTAAATGAGGCAAAGAATGCAACAAGATGAGCTTTCTTTTAATGTCTGAAATGGTTAGGAATAGAAATGCTGGAAAAGGGCACTGTTATGTTTGAATTGGTGTCACCTCCCATGGATAAAACCCCACAGTGAGCCATCAGAGCACAAGTGTGGAAACTGGATCCTTTGACTTCCACAGTGGACTTAATTTTCTTTTCCTCCTCTCTTTCAGGCCAGGAAAAAATCACCAAACTCCTGCCACCTTTGCCAAACCCTTTGGTGTTCCAGCAGCCACAGCCAAGAGGCCCCAGCACAGGGCTCTGCCTGGAGGGCTCAGGCCCTGCCCTGCTGTGGGGTGAGTCAGAGGCACGCAGGGCTCCTCTTGTCCTCCCTGCTGCATTCACTGCCTGGGGATGCCATTGCTGCCAGCCCAGCCCTGGCACTGCTCACAGGGCCCAGGGGGAGGGAAGGGACCAGGCTCTGACCCATGGGTCACAGGGCTGGTTTATTATTTTATGGTATATATTACATTAAATCTATACTAAAAGAATAGAAGAAAGGATTTAATCAGCAGGCCAGCTAAGAGTAGAAAAAGAAGGAATGATAACAAAGGCTTGTGGCTGGCACAGAGAGTGTGAGCCAGCTGAGTGTGACTGGCCATTAATTAGAAACAACTACATGAGACCAATCACAGATGCTCCTGTTGCATTCCACAGCAGCAGGTAATCAATGTTTGCATTTTGTTCATGAGGCCTCTCAGCTTCTCAGGAGGAAAATCCTAAGGAAAGGATTTTTCCTCAGAGATGTCTGTGACACAGCCCCAGCCCTGTGTGCTGGCAGAGACACAGAGACAGCCCTGCCCAGAGCCACCATTGTCAGCAACCAGGGGATGGCACTGGCTCTGGGTGAGAAGGGCTTATTGCTCACACAAACATCAGCCTCAGTGCCCTGGCTCTGGGTGAGAAGGATTTATTGCTCAGATGAACATGAGCCTCAGAGGCCAGCAGACTTTACAGAGTAAGTAGTTCCTACAGTTCAAGAGCAGTCACAGTTCCTTGTTACAAGGCAATGTAGAACTTTCTAACCCACAGACAGCTGCCACAGGGTTTATTTTGCTTTTCTAACCTATCACCTTTCCTTAACTCTGCTGCACTGTGCACACTTTTGTCCAGTGGCTCCTCACTTGCACACAGATGCTTCTGTTATAATTCTAAACTCTGACTTTACACAACCCCACCCTCACATTATCAACCCTTCACCACCTCACCTTCACAGTTCCTCACTCACTTAAGGCATGCTCTTACTTACAGCCATAGAAA